GGTTCTACATAAAACCAAGATAACAAGCAGCTGCAGGCTACTTCCTCAATATCTGGTGACAGTAATAACGACCGCAACACAGCTTGCCTTTTTTTTCTGGGCACGACATCAAAATCTACCCTGTATCCTCTGCAAGTGCGTGCAGATGGTGCGAACCAGATGTGAAACAGTAAGAGGCTTTCACAACCTAACAGATCGTAAGCAGCGCAGTGAAAGCTCCACTGAATTACCATATTTAACAGATACTAACAAAAATGCAGCTCTTCCTGTCAGCGGGCGCTTTGTATACCATCCTCCTTTTAACGAGAACGCAAGAGAGAAGTGTGACAGGTACGGTCTGTGAACTCACCAAGGTCCAGGTAGCTGACATCAAAGCGCTGCTCCAGAGACAGTTCGCTGAGCAAAGAGCAGAAGTTGGAATCAGAGGGCATGCCCAGAGGATGGCTGCGGAGTTGGAGGATCTTCTCACCGGCAGAGTTACGCAGAGAATCCCACGTGCAGCTGAAGCCTTTACTTTTACCCGACTCCGCTCTGCTGCCTATGTTCTGCGCATGCAGGAATTAATGGACAATGTCATTACGTGCAATAATCATGACACAGAAGAGTAACAACATATGAATCAGAGGTTATGCTAAATGAATAATGCATCAGGAAATACAGAAAATTAACATTTACAAAAATATTTTGTTACTACGTAGAAGTGAGCTAAACTCTAATCCCTCTAATGATGCTTAATAAACATTTGTCAGTCAGTGTAACAGTGTTTGATTCCCACCACAGTAAATGTATCATCTTCGGCATCAGGATCATTGCTGGTCCTCATATCTACGGGGACATCGTGTATGCGTGACAGCATCTTAGCTGCTGCGTTTCTCTTGGCTAGCTTCTTAGATGTACCACTTCCTGGAGAGGAAGAGGAGATTGCATCAGAAACCAAAGGATGTGCTTGATATCTCTTAAGTTCTCATGCTTTAAGAGAGTAAGTCAAGGAAAGTCACAAATTAGTTGACCAGTGTGAAAGGTGTAACAAAAGATATATGATTTTGCTCAGTTTTATTAAGCTGTTTTCTATCAATAATATTTCATTAGTGAACACACACACACACAAAATTGTGTTTTCATGTCTTTGTGGGGACATCTAATTGACACAATGCTTTTCCTAGCAGCTTATCTTAACCATTAAAATTGAATGCCTAACCCTAACTGTAACCCTGACACTAACACCACATTTTGAGCCTCAAAAATGCCCGCAAACTCGTGGGTCAGGCATTTTGTCCCCACAAAGATACGTAAACATGGTACACACATACACACGCGCACGCAGGCTGAGCGATTGAAACAAAGCAACGTACCGATTTCTACAAATCTCTCCACTCTGCAGGTCATGGTGAACTCTTTGCGATGTGCTGGACCAGACTCTTGAGTGACTGTGTACTCTGGCAAACGCCATCCTTTCTGCACCACCAGCTCCTGGCAGAACAAAGTAAAAAATAAACCAAAAG